TTGGCCCCATGGCAGTGCCATGTTATCGGCAGCCAATCAGAGCACAGCACTTCCTGCTCCCACTCAAGGGAGACCTCTAGAGGAAGAACCAGGAATACTTTTATCAACTGATGCAAATTCGCTTGTTTTCACAGCTCCTCACCTCTGCTTTGCCAAAGTGCTGCTTGCGGAAGGGAGCAAACGTGGAAGGTTTTTCAAATACCTGGCTGGGTGATTTATATGGTGCATGGATGCAGAGAGTTTGGTGGGTGACAGTTTTTTCAGGAACAGTTGGCATCAGCCCTATCCTAACACATGGCTTATGCTCATCCTTTTGAACTCAAAGAGTCGCTCATCCACCCAGACTCCATCCATTATGCAGATCTGGTCTGGTGTCGCCACCCGCTCTTTGGGTTAAGTGCATGAAATTTTAACAGATAACATATTTCTCTCTGGCTGGAATTGCCAGTAATTACCTAGAGGTGGTTGGTGGCTGAGTTTTCCCCCTCTCCCCACTATGAAATACTGTTTTCATTACACCCATGCTGTATCAGACCTGCAGAGGTGACCCCAGGACATTGCAGGGGGGAGGGGGACCGAGGAAATTTGTCATGGAGTGTTAGGAGAGGCTGTGATTCAAATGAATATTGAATGTTTATTTTTTTGCCAAGTTGGGAGCTATTACATTCCTTTCCGAGCCATTTGTCTGGAGCCAAATCGAGGGGGGGGGGAGTGTTCTGCCATCCCTTCTCGGTCATTTCTTCTGCATTCGTTTTGGGCTGAGAGAGGATTCAGCTTAGTGAGAGAGTTTATTTTGCATTATACAGTGGCACCTTGGGGTAGAGACGCTTCAGGTTACAGACGCTTCAGGTTACAGACTCCGCTAACCCAGAAATAGGACCTTGGGTTAAGAACTTTGCTTCAGGATGAGAACAGAAATCGTGCTCCGGCAGCACAGCGGCAGTGGGAGGCCCCATTAGCTAAAGTGGTGCTTCAGGTTAAGAACAGTTCCAGGTTAAGAACGGACCTCCAGACCGAATTAAGTTCTTAACCCAAGGTACCACTGTACATTCTCCAACTATATGAAACCAGCTATCGGGTTGTATCCAAGAATAGTCCTACTTGGGGTAGCCCTGTTGAAGTCAATGGGCATTATTAATAGCCACTGCTTTAGTGTGGCCAAAACCTGCCCCTCACTGGCCAAAACCTGCCCTTCACCCCTGTTTATTTGAGGGAGGAGCAAATGTTGTCATGAATGAGCCAGCTCCCAGTGAAGGTTTGCAACCAGCTGAAGAAAGCAGCCTGGAACAGAGAGGGTTAACTGCCAGGCAGGTTGAACCTCTGCTAGTGCCAACTCCCTTCCCCTTGAAATGCTGGTTGATAAGGGAATGGCTGAGAGCGGGCCAGGACCCAGCCAATGCTCTCAAGAAGTGTAAACTAGTGTGAACAGAGAAGGAAGCAGTTTTTCAGAATGGGAAGAGATTGGAGCTCAGCCAATCCCTCCTAAGAGGCGCAAAGTGAGAAAGTTCAATATCTTCTGTAACCAGAAGGGGTCTTCAGAAGGGTCATCATGATTGATGATGCCGGGAGGCTGTGTTAGAGCAGTCTGGAACTATCTGTTGTTTTGACAATAAATCATCCCTTTAAATTAACTACGCTTACTGTGTGATCAAGCCAGGGACCGGACTCCTGACACTGGTACAGGGAAAACTGAGACTCATTGTAGCCCTGGACAGGGGCGCCATCTTGCCCTCAGGATTCTAGGTGCCTGCTGCTATAATGCAGGCGGGCAGCATCAAACACACTTTCCTGCACAATGCAACGTTGCATTGCCTTTTGACAAGATACCCCCTCCTATAAAAATATTGGAGGTGGCACGTTGGAGCGTTGCAGCAGTGGCGCCTCCCCTTCTTCCTCCTCTCTTCAGCCAGCAAGGCACCCTTTTCTGCGGAGAGGGGCTCAGACTTGGAGACTCTGCTTCCCCATCCGAGGGCCACTCTCCCCAAAAGAAAAGGGTGATTTGCTAGCTGGCGGTGGAGGGCAGAGCTGAACGGCTTCTCTCTCAGAGGCAGCACCACAAAGGCTGGCTGGCTGCCTCTCTCTGGCTTTGTTCACTGACTTTGTACCCAGCCTTCACAATTATATTATCGTGGGGGCCCAAGCACCCACGGCTCCCTAGAGATCTTTGCAATTGAAATATACTCAGAGTCGAGAGTGGATTTCATGCTCTTTATTCAGCTCATAGTGGTGAGGAGGAATGGAAGTTCCCCCACAAAATCTGCTTTATATACATTATTTACACAATGGGCTGCACGTGATTGGATAATTCTGGGATTCTCCTGTAGGCCAATGAGGTTTTGGATTCACTTCCACCTGGAGCTGGATTGGGTGGCTCCTGCGGACCAATCAGACCGCTGCATTCTGAATCCTATTGTTCTAGGACCAATCAGACTGCTGCATTCTGAATCCTATTGTTCTAGGACCAATCAGACTGCTGCATTTTGGATCCTATTCAACTCAGTACATAACAGCAATACAAAGGCTTATCACGACTTTGCTGTCCCCATTCCCTACTGCATGGGCAAGCATACTTCAGGCTACATAGCTTTATACAGTCATACCTTGGGTTACAGCCACTTCAGGTTGTGCATTTTTGGGTTGCGCACTACACTGAACCCAGAAGTACCAGAACGGGTTACTTCCAGGTTTCAGCGCTTGCGCATGCGCAGAAGTGCTAAATTACGCTTTGTGCATGCGCAGAAGCACCAAATTGCGACACGTGCATGCGCAGATGCAGTGCTGCAGGTTGTGAACGCTGCAAGGTGCAAATGTGCCTCCCTCACGGATCACGTTCGTAACCTGAGCGTCCACTGTATACTATGTAGCTTGATATTATGGTATATATTTTTGTGTTTTTATATTGTAAACTGCCCGGTGTTCTTTGGATGAAGTGTGATATAGAAATTTAATAATTCATCTTCATCATCATCATCATCACCAGCAACTGGTTTTCAGGGGCATTGCATTTTTCAGATCCCAGCCTTCCCATCCCCATTTTCTCTCCTCCCTCTATTTATATAGTATGTTTGTGGAATGGATGAAGAGGGCAACTCACCAGAAGAAGACATGGAAGACATCAGAAGAAGATATGATTTCTTTTCTCTCTTTTTTTTTGCCCATCTCTAACTCAAAATAAGCAACCGTCATTGACTGTTGGATACCAGACTACAACTGCCATGGGTTAACACTGCAAGGAATTATGAAAGGAGAGAAAACAAATTAAATAAGTTGGGGGAGAAGCTTGATAATATCCCCATTATTATATTTTACAATATAATTAGACCTTCCCGTTACAGATTAAATCATCCTGGATCTTTAGTTGGCGAGGCATCCTGACTTTTTATTGTTTGCTGATTCAATTATCCCATGTTGTATTTACCCTGACACTGTTATTAGCCGATGATGGAAGGGTGATGGGGATTGTCAATTATCTCCCAACGCAGTGGAATATTTTTTATCTGTCCTGGAGAAACAAGGAGAGGCTCCATGGCACGCTGCTGAGGAGGACAATTAGCATGGTTGCCGTAACCTTTCGGAAGACCCTTGCCTGGCAATGATTTGCTCCTTAACAATAGTGGTGTCAAGATGTCATGATCCAGGATGTGTACAATTAGCATCCAAAGTAATTCTAAAGAGCAGGTCGATATGGCACATGGTTTTTTCTGTGCGTGTGTATCTATGGAGCTGTTTTATAGTAAGGCCAACCCATGGTTCATCCAGCCTAATATTCTCTGCTTTGAACAACAAGGCTTTCCCCATCTGTGGTACCTGAGATCCATGGAAATAAAGATCCCAGAATCTGAGGGCTTCAGCATTCAAAGTGACAGCAACTCTAAGGTTTTAGTGTTAGGATATTTCCGTTCCACCTTAAAAAGGGAGCAGGTTGTTGTGTCACAGCCTGCGTATTTCCTGTTCACAGGATGTTTCTGTTTTGCTCTCTCTTTGCGCCTGAACATCGAAGCAGGCAGTCATGTTTTTCTTTGTTCTTACCAACGCTGAATAAAGTTGTAAATAATGCTCTCCTGAGTGCATCTTTCGTTGTGCGAACTCTGCTGATAGAGCGTGCATGAGCCCTGGAATGTGGCAAGCTATTTCTGAGGCTCGTGTCACTAATTGACTGATACTGTATCTACGGGAGATCGATGGATCGTCCGGAATCGACGTGGGGGCATGATGGCTTTTGTCTCCCTGGCAGTATCCCAACACTTAGGACCAAAGCCTTTCCCAATGTTTCCTTAGATTCATCAAATAAGTTCCCAAGAACTGAACCTTATATAATCTACAAACCAAGCAGATGGCATGCCACTGAGCTACAGCCCCTTCCCCAATGCACTGTGTGCAGGAAGAAGGTTACAGTACCAACCTTACTTTATGCTTGAGAAACGTGGACCACATATAAACGCCATCTCCAACTCCTCGAAAGATTCCATCAACGGTGTCTCCGAAAAATTCTACATATCACTTGGGAAGACAGGCAAACTAAGGTCAGTGTACTGGAAGAAGCAAAGATCACCAATGTTGAAGCAATGATTCTTCAAAAACAACTTTGTTGGACTGGTCATGTTGTGTGGATGCCTGATGATCGTCTTCCAAAGCAACTACTCTATTCCAAACTTAAAAATGGAAAGCGTAATGCTGGTGGTCAACAAAAGAGGTTTAAAGACTGTCTCAAGGGAAATTTTTTAAAATGTAGTATAAACACTGAAAACGGGGAAACACTGGCCTGTGAGTGCTCCATTTGCAGAGCATCCTTTACCAAAGGTGTCATGGGCTTTGAAGATGCTTGAACTCAGGACAAAAGGGAGAAACACGCTCAGAGGAAGGCACGCTTGGCAAACCCTCACCATGATCAACTCCCACCCAGAAACCAATGTCCCCACTGTGGAAGGAAGTGTGGATCCAGAATTGGCCTCCACAGTCACTTACGGACTCATTGTTTAAACCGTGTTTATGGAAGAAAATCTTACTCGACTATGAGTGATCGCCAAAGAAGAAGAAGAGACTTGTAGAGTTGGAAGGGATCACAAAGGTCATCCAGTCCATGAGCTTGTTTGGAGGTTCTAGCAGGGGAGCGCAGCTATCGTATACCCTTGACCGAAGAACGGTACACTCCTTCTATCTGGGATGGTCGTCCTCTTCTACCGAGCGCGCAGCTTCGGGAGGGACGCACATGGAGCGGTGAGGGAGGAAGGGGACACCCGCCTAGCCAGCCAGATCAGCTGAATCAACCCTGGCGATCAATGGGGTGACAGATGTCACAGCCAGATCGCCCTCACATCCCAAAGGTCATCCAGTCCAACCCGCTGAGAGCAGAAAGAAAGTTAAGATTGTTTGTTTTATTATGTTCTACCAGGGAGGAGAGGCCTATTTAGCTGAAGCATTTTAATTGCCATAGCTTGCTTCCTCTAAGGAAACTTTACAATTATATTACTGAGGATCCCAAGAAAATATTTGTAAAAGTTCCAACAGTCTCCATGATTGCTTGGGAAGATGACATAAACTGGTATAATCTGTAATACAGATTTGGGCTGCCAACTTTTTTACATGCATAATTTTTTATTTGATTTTTAAAAAAGAAATATATATATAATCATACAACAAAAAACAGTTCCAAATCCAAATATTGAGATTACCCCAAATCTCCTGACTCCCCCCCCCCCCACATCCCTTCCATGGGTCTTAATGTTATTATTTACAACTGCATATCAATACTTATCCAAAACTTTAATCCTTCTATATTATCCATACTTGCCATACTTGACCACAAGTGTGGTCAAAATCCTGCTAATGTTTTAACCTGCTTACAGTGGTCTCATAAGTAAATTATAAACTTTTCCCATTCCTTATTAAAGCTCTTGTCTTCTTGATTTCTGAGCTTCCCAGTTAATTTAGCCATTTCAGCATCGTCCATCAACTTGGTTTGCCAGTCTTCTCTGGCCGGAGTGCTTTCTTCCTTCCATTTCTGGGCACCAACTTTTTTACCAGCCTCCTCAATTGTGCCTTCAACAGTAGCTTGGTCAGCATTCTAGATAAAAGGGGGGAGCATGGGGACAAGGAACTGGAAATTGATTCCAGAAGTACTTAATTTTCTCCCCTCGCCCCATGTCAGACTTTGGATATTTGAATGGATATTGCTCACTTGAGCCTTAATGTTTCTGAAGGAGCCTGATTGGTCTTTTCCTGCAAGCCAATTAGTTGTTGCATTCTAGGATCCTACTTGCCTATTAGTGATGTATGGAAGTGAGAGCTGGACCATAAAGAAGGCTGATCGCCAAAGAATTGATGCTTTTGAATTATGGTGCTGGAGGAGACTCTTGAGAGTCCCATGGACTGCAAGAAGATCAAACCGATCCATTCTGAAGGAAATCAGCCCTGAGTGCTCCCTGGAAGGACAGATCCTGAAGCTGAGACTCCAATACTTAGGCCACCTCATGAGAAGAGAAGACTCCCTGGAAAAGACCCTGATGTTGGGAAAGATGGAGGGCACAAGGAGAAGGGGACAACAGAGGACGAGATGGTTGGACAGTGTTCTCGAAGCTACCAGCATGAGTTTGACCAAGCTGTGGGAGGCAGTGGAAGACAGGAGTGCCTGGCATGCTCTGGTCCACGGGGTCATGAAGAGTCAGACATTACTAAATGACTAAACAACAACAACAACAACTTGCCTATTGTTCTAGGATCCAAGCTTAGTACATAACACCTTCCTTCTTTTATTCAAGCATGACAATAAGTCCTGGTAGCTTTTGACCTCTTTTGTCACTGAGGCAAAACTCACTCCAGTTACTTTTAAAACCACAACTATGTTCTTTAAATTATCAGTGTTCATTGGGAAGGTTTCTGGCAGCTGAAGAATAACCTTGGCCCCTTTCTCCTCACTTCCATGTCCTGCTGTCAACAGAATTAGGTATGTCACAGCAAACTCAGCTGGGACTTTTAGAAGCTGATGAATAATACATCCTTTTGTAAAGCTTATAAAAGAAGTTTCATCATTAATGATTTGAATATGCACAATAATGCGGACCATTTGGCAAGCGTCTGTGGATATTTACTGCTAGAAGTGGCACAAATGTCTATGAAAGGTATTTGAAACGAGAGGTTTAAAATATCCCTAGACAGTTCCACTTTTCTTTTTTTAAAAAATCTTCTCCATTGGAAGCAGTGTGGTTTCCAGGATAACGGGCAACCGAAGTATGCATTTACTGCAAAGACACATTTCCAAGAAGCAGTCAGACAAATTCTCCTTCTGCTCCAAAAACTCTAGAGATCGTCTTGTCTATGGCTCTGATTCACTGGCACTCAGAGGTGTTTTTGTAGGACGACATGAAGAGAGGAAAGGAGAGATTTCAGACAAGTTTTCTCTTCTGGGCAAAGACAAACCTTTTGTCTCCAAGATAGTGGCAGTGAATGGTATCTTCTCCTGCTCAGTCTACTATTTGTTACAGGCACAAGTGCACTTTGATAATCTTTATCATGCTCACTTATACTATTGTCAATGGTCACCAGTGATTCTGGCACTTTTAAACATACTGTTGAAAATATCTGATGCAAAATATTCCTAATGCACAGGGTAAGATGTCGAGATGTATTTCCAATAACAAACTTCCAATTCCAGTTTCCTGCCTGTTGACTTAAGTGCAGAATATATCTAAAGCAGTGCCAGATTTACATATAAGCTAAACAAGCTATAGCTTAGGGCCCCACTCTCTTGGGCCCCCCCCAAAAAAATTAAAGGAGAAAAAACTGGATGTACATTTCCAAAATATAAGATAATTGTATTTCAGTTCAACAATTACTTTGATAAAATGCATATTTTGTTATGTGCAAATGGCTTTAGATACCTATTAGGTCAACAAATTACCATATAGCATATATTCAACACAAAAAACAGTGACAATTTGTTGTTGACATAGGACAGCTGGACATATAAAGGGTCCCATTACCTTCAGTAGCTTAGGGCCTCATCAGACCTAAATCTGGCCCTGATCTAAAGGCATGTAATTGATGCTGGATGACTGCATTTTCCTAGTTTGATGTCTTGTTAATAATATAATGGGGATCATCAGGCCAAAGAAGGGGGACAAATTTGACCCTCCATACCTCTCTGTCTAGCCTGGCGGTTTCCCAAACTAAGTGTTAGTATCCCTGGGGAGTGGGATTACCTAAGGGGGCACTAAGAGGCAAGGAGACAGCCGGGTAAATGACTGCCAGACTTTGGAAAGCTGGTATCACTGGATGAAGTTCATCAAGATTGTTGAATTAATCAACAAATCAAGTTTTTTAAATTGTTGTTGTTGTTTATTCGTTTAGTCGTGTCCAACTCTTCGTGACCCCCTGGACCAGAGCACGCCAGGCACTCCTGTCTTCCACTGCCTCCCGCAGTTTGGTCAAACTCATGCTGGTAGCTTCGACAATACTGACCAACCATCTCATCCTCTGTCGTCCCCTTCTCCTTGTGCCCTCAATTTTTCCCAACATCAGGGTCTTTTCCAGGGAGTCTTCTCTTCTCATGAGGTGGCCAAAGTATTGGAGCCTCAGCTTCACAATCTGTCCTTCCAGTGAGCGTTTTTTAAATATATATTTAATAAATAAATCAATAAATAAATATATTATTAGTTTTTTAACATATCATTTTCAGCAATTATCAAACATACTTTTATAACTTATACAATTTTTTGACTTCCATCAATCACATCTGAAAATTTTCCAATCTTTTCACTTAACTTACATTTCTTACTTTCATAATTCTTACTTTCATTAGTTCTTACATAACTAATGTCTCTCTTCTTTCTCTTCTTTGCAATATTTCATATATTTCTCCTTACAAACTTCTTGTAGTCCTACTAGCATAATTTGCTGATTAAAGATGCTCTTCAAATAGTTTGTATATTTCTTCCAATCTTCTGTAAATCTCCGGTCCCCCAGGTTTCGAATCCTTCCTGTCATTTTATCCAATTCTGCCTAGTCCATTAATTTTGTCTGCCATTCTTCTTTCGAATCAAACTAAAGTTTTAACTGAACCTTGAATAAATGTGCATTAAGTTGTTACTGTTTTGAATTTTATTGTGCTATTTTTTTCCTTAGTGGGCCATGCAAACCACTATTATGAATAATGCTTTTTATACAGCAGGACAGGAGGCACTGGGAATGTGTTTATGGAAGCAAAGAGTTGGTGGCACTGCAAAATTTGGGACCTCTGGTTTAAAGGACCTGAGCAGGCACACCCAACATCCAGCACCACTGTTTATATGTACACAAAGACAATGCTATAAAGCCCCCAAAAATTCAATACTGCAGCTAATCCTCTTCAGCTATCCAATCTATTTCATTTACAGGCCAATATATCAGCCAATTTATAACCAATCTGTCATGCCTGCGAATCAATACGACTCATGGAAAGACACCTACATTAGGCGCTGTGCATAACTGAATATTGTGTTCTTCCTAGTCTTGTGTCACCACACCAGAGACAAATTGAAAGACACATATTTGCCTTTACGTACTAATGGAGATAATGTCGTGCCAGTAATTTCAGCCCGCATTATTACTGAAGACACAATAATAACAGGAGGTGAATATAATGTTAGGGGGTGAGCCAAAGTTTTGATAAGCTTCAATTTTTTGAGTCAAAATAAAGACAAAGAAATGTTTCTTCACTAGGCAGCTGTTTGGGCAAAGCATCTTCAGCGGACTGATCCTGTCTTCCCCACTGGCTAACAGAGTCAACGGAGCAACTCCAAATTGCTAGAGGTTCCTGGCAATTTACCATCCCATGTGCAGATATTCCCGCTGTCACTCAAGGGTGGGATCAAATTCACCACACCAAAATTCCCGCAAGAGTAGTCAAGTTGGTTTTGCCCTAGGGAGGAGCTGGGTGTGGGCAGTGTTGGGTCTCGGCTTATAATGGCTCGGCTTATAAACTGGCCCCTCTCCATACTCTCCCCCTTCTTTTCTGCAACGGCTACCCACTTTCCCTTTTACAGAGTGGGTATAGGTAGATGCCTGTTGTTAGTTTCTGTTCTTATCACTGTGCAGCTGCGTGGAGTCACAGGACTCTGTTTACATTCCAGAGACCTTCCAGGCTAGTGAAAGTCTCATGGGAAGGGAGACGGGATGTGACATTAGTGGTTTCCTGTTTCCTTTGTTCCTTTCTTCCTTTGTTTCAGTTGCTGTCTGCTTTCATAGAGAGAGGATGTCTTTTCTGTTCTGCGTAGTTTAGAAATAAAACCCTTTACAATGTAGCCAAACCTCTCGTCTCTTCCCTGTGCTGGGAACCCTGCTGG